TTTTTTTTTTTTTTTTTTTTTTGGGTGAAGAATCATTAGTTTCTTCAAGTGAAGTTATCTTCTTTTTCTCTCTTTTAATTTTGGAATTTTTGTTTGTTTTTTTTTTTTTTTTAAATAATGGAGATGAGATTTTAACATTAATGGAGAAGCTAAGCAGCTACTTTTTTGGACAGAACTACAGCAGTGGATTCCATCAGCCTTCGGCCCAAGCTTTTTTCACAAGCTGGTTTCCTGTAATCTTCCTTGCACTTCTCAAAAGACTAACCCGAGTTATTCCACCATGTTGTGTCTTCTGGAAAAATTTATAAGAGATCACCCAACATACCATAGAACCATGAAGTTCTTATGATTGAGTTATCGAAAAGAAAGGTACACATGGTTGGTATAGGTAGTTCAATCTTTTAAGTTTTTCTTAATCAATCTATTTTTATGATACTCTAATTTAAATGTGATTTTGGTTCATTTATTTACTTAGGCGTAAGTTTCAGGTTTTGAATTACTTTCTGTTTGATGTATGAAGCTCATAGATAATGTTTGTTTATTATCATCTCTGCCCATAATAACTTCCAAATATGTCTTAGACGTCTCTCCATCGTACAAATGTTTGATCTGGAACAATGATAACTCATGGTTTAAAGGTGATTTAGTCCAAATAAAGTTTAATTATCCTCATACATTTGAACATATTTTGATATTATTTTGTGAACATACGACCATGAAAAAGATGAGGGCAGGATTATCGAAAACTCGGCATTCAAGCGTCTTCATTCTTGAACCTATTTAATTTCGTTTTGAAAATATGGATATACAAAATCTTAAAAATCTTAAAAATACGTGGATTCCCAATTTTAAAAGAATTCGTGCCGTAGATGTCTCTACTAAGATAGGACAAGTCAGGGGCAGGGAGAAGGGCTTCTTCGTCGGGTTAGCTATATGTTGTGTATACAATTTTCACAGAAAGTGGTAAGAGGATGAATTCTAGAGCAACATTGAGCAAAAGCTCTCTGTTGGCCTTAACCTTTTGCTGATCATTTTGACCTCTCGGGTCGAAAGTTTTAGGGTTGTAAACAACTCAATTCTCTTTGAAAAAGAAAAGATTGAGTTTTTTTTTTTAAGAAGGTTCTCTTCTTAGGGTATCCTTAAGTTTTCATTTGAATGTTTAAGTCGTAAAGTGAACACATGAAATAAGATTAAGTTTGAGAGTGGAGAATGAACTTGGTTTCAAAAGGAACGACACCGACCCATTTAAGACGATTTTGAGTAGGTTGGCCATGAAAAAGTTAGGGTCGACCACGCATCCCGAACTGTAGTCGAATGTGCTTTTATAGTTTAATTTAGTAGGTGTGATAATTATCTCTGTATCAAATTTTAATTTGATGAAATTATTGTGTTATTTGACAATAATGTATCATTTTCACTGTTAATTGTTGAACATAGCCCACCGAAAATGTTCAATTTTAATGGATTGGGCTTTGGGCCTAACTTTGAGATGTTGGCCTTCATATTCAGGCCCATTCCAGCATCCAATTTACTCCTTGCCACGTCACCATACTTGTATATACAAGCTAGCTTGGAGAGTGAAGTGTCACCACAGACCAACACAAGTATTTTCAACATGTTTTTTTTGTTGACTGGTATGTTTTCTAAAAAAAAAAATCTCAGAAGATCACCGGCCCGTTTGACTCAACAATCTTAGACCATTGAAACCCAATACGATATCTTAACTTTACCAGAAATTCTGCATCGAACTTCAACCCCTAAGAGTTGGCCACAAGGCAACAATTTTTAGAGGCAAAAGGCCATGAGGAGATATCGTCTGTGATCCATAGATCTCCGATCGGGAAACTGCATCCAACCTTCGTGGCTATTCTGTGCTCTTTGAACTTTTTAAACTTAATGAACTGAAACATCCGAGTAGCTAAAGGAACAGATTGGGAGTTTGAAAAAAAAAAAAAAAAACAAACAAAACTAAACACGCCTAACTTTAGAGGTCATGTGCTTAAACCTTCGGTTCATTCATGCATTCATTCTACACATGGACATTAATGTCAATCATCGTTTTTTAAAAACTAAAATAAAATAAAATCTAAATAATTGATGTCATGAACATCCCGAACACAATAAAACATTACCATTTTTGTTTGTCATGATTATTAAAAT